AATCGTCTAGTCTTCCTGGATTCCTGCACACTAGCCGGGAGTGCAGACTGGGTTGATGTCAATCACTGAAATAAAGTTTAGCTTGGCAGCTCTACGGGGAGGCTTTGAAACAAAATGTACCCCGTGTTGCTGATTTCGAAATATTTCTTTAAAACAAACAGATTTTTTTTCCAGTGGTGTGAAAACCCTCTGCTTTTCCCTCTGATCTTGTCTGAAATAGAAACATTTCTCTCTCCCCCCCAGTCACTTTAATGGCTTTCTTTCCCTGGTCCCAAATAGAGCAATTTGTTCATGAAGTTAGTTCCTGCTTTGACAGGTTTTAGGTTAAACTGCAGATTTAAAGCCAGTCCATCTGAGGCGGCAATAAAAGCTCTTTTGAAAAGGGAATGAGGCAGTTTGGGGTGAATGGACACTTCTTATAAAGAAAAAAAGAGAACATGGATTAACAGTTTCAGAGTTAATGCAATATAACACACTCTAGCACTGACCTTGCTGTATGTATAGTACAGCAATTTGCATACTGCACTGCATAGGAAAAAAAGTGATATTCAGAGAAATATAACAGAGGTGTAAATGAAGGAAGTGTACTTACTGCCATAATTCAATGTGTTATTTGGTTGGCTTTGTCTATGACCCTCCGTATGGCTTAACATAACTTGTGCAGCACTGAGATAGGCAGAAACGAGGGACCTTGAGCAGTTGCCAGAGGTGGAAAGGCAAAGATAGAGAGTCACATGGCATCTGTGCAGAGTGGAGCATGAACCACTGCTGCAGCTGTGAGATCCTGAACTAATCAGGACAGATGATTAGTCATCACTACATTGCATACGTTTCTCTGCATTAAACACTCACAAGCCAGAATTAATATGTAGAGTAACTGTTCAGTACACACTGTCTACAAACTGTCAGATCTCTGTGACGGAGGTTGACAGCAACACTCGAACAAACAGGACAGATGGTTCAGCGCAGTCCGTGGTGCAACGTGAGATTTCTGTCTTTCAAAAGATGCACTTTGACTTAAAGTTTGCAGTTGTTTTCCCTCAGTTCACACACAGTTTAACTCTAATTGAAATGGAAACCATTGGATTTTTCTGTGCATGTATCTGTGTATTCGTTTAATTGACAGCGACGTGATGTTGAGAGCTAGGCTGTGTTTTCAGCATAGTGTTAGTTCTTGCCCTCGGGATCAGTTTCAGGCAGCAATCTAAGCAGATCAGCTGATCTCAAAGCCAGCCCGCATCATTTGAGGGCTCAGCTGATATACCTTTGCTCATCCTGCCACATGGTCGGATGAACTGCTTCTGCCTCAGTGTTTTGGCCAGCACCCATGCTGGTTTTTGAAGGCAAAGTCATCATATTTGGAAGAGAGTGGAGTTAAGCATGGTTAGTTAGCTGAATTCACAAACTGAACAGGTGCAACACACAATGCTGCTAATTAATATTAAGATAAAAATGATAGATAAAAGATAAAGTAATCAAATTTCACTAAAACAGAAGCAAAACTTTCTTGGTTAGACGTCCAGTTAAGTTGCTTGAATTAGCTGAAGTGACGTCCAAGAGAAAGTAATTGGTTTTAGTATCCCAGCAGCTGGACACTTATTTTAAATCTTACTAGTGTGCAAATGAGAGCCAGTACTGTGCAAAAGTCTTGACTCACCCTTCATTTCTTTATGTTTTGATAGGAAATTTGGAAGGAGATGTAGAGATTTATTGAAGCGTGCAAACATACATGGAAATACAGTAAACAAAGCAACAACAAAAAAAATGTTTGTTGAGTTCTAACAAGCTCAAAAGTCAGTATTTGTCATGACCACATTCCTTATTCAACACAGCCTGAAGTCTCTTAGGCAGCTTTCTTGTCATTTCTTTAGGTAGTGTTCAGGAATAGTCCTCCTGGCTTCTTGAAGGACATTCAAAGCTATTCTTTAGATGTTTCTGCTTTTTGTTCCATTCTGTTAGCATTACCTGGTTTGGTAGAAAAAAACCTGTTTTCTATATTCAAACAAATTTGGAGTGTTTCATTGTGGCTGGATTTTCTTTTAAAATAAATGCAACCTTGTCAGAAAATCCAAATGTACTACTTTTCAAGTTTGAGAGGAAGCAGTGTTGTATGAGGAGAAACCTAAACATTCAGAGACGCTAGGCTACAAAACTCTTTCAATGAATGGATTTTGGAAGAAAACCTTCTGTCTGTACTGATTTAATTAACTTGTGGATTTTCATATCATCTTAAGGTTCCAAGCAAACACCCATTTAAAGCCCTGAGGTTTTGGCTTGAACAAATTTTAAGTATCAACAGTTCACCGTGAGATCTTTTTGAGTGGATTGTGGTTGAGCTTTAAAGTTATATTTGCTGGATTTTTAAAACTTTTTATTGATATATCTTAACCCTGAGAGGTGAAAAGCGTGTTTTGGCTTGATTCTCACCAACTATCATTTTCCTTTTTTTTTCTTTTTTTTTAACAGAGGCAGCCTCTCATTCCTCCCACTCATCAAAGAGGCATAGTACTTCATTTTCATACTGCAGTATCACAGACAGGCGTCAACACCCATAATCAATCACCATTGCTTGTGTGGAAAATTCCATTAATTGGCTTTTCTTTGGTCGCCTGATTTCGTGTAGTGTTAACATGATCACACTTTGAGAGGAAATTCTGCCTGGAGTAAAAAAATCGCTCGGCTAATTGTGCCCAGTCCTATTTGCTGTGTAATTGCTATATCACTTTTACCCTCGCTGTGCTATCTTCAGTTGCTGGCCAGAAAGTCTTTGTTGGATTTGTGTCCGCTTGTTTTTCTACCTCAACATTAGATGTTCCTCCGCACTTACAAAGAAGCCGACTGACTCTTCCCTGTGAGTGCCTCTGTAGTTAGCCTGATTTACGATATCGCTCCGCAATAAAGGCCTGTGTGAGGGGGAAAGATTCATTAAGGAGCCCAGTTTATGTTTCGGAGAACTCCGGAGGGACCGTGGGAATACTGATTGGCACACAGATGTGCACTTGTCTCATCCCCCCAACCAAAGCCAAAAGCTCTCAGCCCCTTTCCCCTTGCACCATGTGCACTGGATTGCACAAAGGAGGTGCTGTTTGCTGCCTGCAGGATGCCTGGGATACTCAGAGTTCTTGCCACTCAAATTTGCACTCTCCTGCTGTGATAGGACTATTCCAGACGTATCAGACCTGCTCGCAGCACCTGGAGGCCCTTCTCAGCATCCTTTAATGACATCCCCACTGACCTTCCCAGCCACTAGCAGCACGACCTATTTGGGTTCATCTCTTCCATCCACAACTTTACCAAATAGGCCAGCGGGCACGGCATTGCAGTGTTTACTCTTCATCGGTCAATACTCTTTAATCCCCAAGATGAGGCTTTCTCTCATGAACTCAAAATAGCTCATCCTCCTCCCCAGTGAAGCCACAGGCCCATTACTCTTTATTAGCTCTTAGCGTCTTAAATGTGGCCATCCATTAGAGGAGTGGCAACAAACATCCCCAACTGATCAAGCTCAGTAAGCTGGCAGGACACACACAGACCGATACGCATTCGCTAATTTAAACTGACCCTTAATCAGGAATAATTATTGTGGAATGAAACAGCTTGTGTCCAAGATAAAGAAGACTCAACTGCACAGCATCGTCCCTGTGAAGATTCCCAAACTTTCCGCGGTCTCCATACCTCCCTACCCCATGACTCTTGCTTACCAGCTCGGTAGGCTCCACAGACCTCTGCCTGAATGATTTCTTTTCTATGGAGGATGACATGGAGTAATACCATACTGTGTCATATATTGATTCTTCTTCCAGTCCCTCTTTCTTGAATTTCGTAGCGGCTCAAAAGCATAAATCATCTGCAAATGATCCTCGAAGGAAATATTGTATTTATTATTCTTGACGCATCGTCACAAATTCAATAAGCCTTATTAATTGAACATGGTGAGAAATATGATGTGGGTAATTCAATGGGACTAGAGAGCTTTCTCTCATCCCTCATATTTAAGACTGTCCTGTTTGGCATTCAGGGCAAAGTCCAGGAATGATTCAGGGTCACAGCGAGGGTCAGGGAGAGTGTAATCTTAAGCCTCGACAACCGCTCGTTTTTGTGATGTGATTTACTGTTTTTTGTTTGTTTGTTTTTTTGTGGAAAACCACATGAAGGCCACCAGCACCAGAAACCCTTTTGTATTTCACTCTTGTGTGAGGGATGATTAAAACGCAAGCACAGTAACACCAACTTCTCTGTTGCTCTATTCACTGTTGTTCAGTATTTCTGAAGCTTTCTGTCCTTGCTTCTTATTTCTTTTTCTTCTTGACATGTTTGACGAAGCCGAAATACAAGCAAGGCCAGGCATCCAGGCAGCCATTCAATGCTATGTCCACCCATATTATTACAGCCAGAAGTGGGCAGCAGGGACATGGCCTCACCTTTTCTGGTGCCCTCTATTGTGGCTCTTCATTTTCTCAGTCTCTGCAAGTGTGAAAGCTGCTCTCCGCTCCGCTACTCCTATTCCGGCTCTACATATCCTAGCATGAGCCCCAGTGGAAGGATGAGTGAGTTTGTATGAGGCGAGGTATAGGCAGGGTGCTGCTTGGCTAGTTAGAGCTCATCTGGGACCTGGTTTCTTACCTCTGCACAGCCATGCAGAGAGAAAAACCCTTTCCACTGGTCACCTTAGAAACTAGGAACGTAAGGTGACTGTAAGTGCAAGAGTGGCATCAGATAAGTGACAGCCAAAGCAACTGGAACTAAAGGTTTTTTGGAAAGCTACCACATGCCGTGTGTCGCTCACTGCCTCAGAAACTAGATTGTACGGGAAGTAGACCAGTTCAAAGATCATTAATCATTTTCCTATGACTGAATTAAGGATTTTTGTCCAACATTAAGTTTATACCAAGCCTTGAGGATTCATTAATTGAATAAATAAATCTTCAATTTCATGGATTTTTAGTCGCATTTTGCTCAAAATTCTTGCTAAAGTTTTTTTTTTTTTTTTTTAAATCCAGGCAGGATGAAAGAGGTTAACTAACTCGCGTACAGAGGAGGATTGTCATCACCAAAGCGATGCATACCTAGAACCTGATCACCTACTCACGAGCAGACAAAAGGTGCTTTTATAATTTCCAATTAAAAACTCGAAGAGAAAAAAGGGATTCAGACATTAGAATTTAGAAGGCACTCTGTCTCAGCATAATGTGGGCAATCCTTTTACAATTTAATGCCACACAATGGAGAAATTTAATTATAAATGATGTGGATCATGAAGTGTGTGCTGAAATAGACATTTTTCTCAGTTGAATTATCATGATTTTTCTTTGTCTTTGCATTTTTTCCACCCGCTGAAACTTGTGCGTATCTCTCTTACCCCCAACCTGGAGAAAGAAGAAAGAAAGATGATTTGCAAATTTTATGTCTTTCTGCATCAACATAACAATTCCAGGAGCGCAGTCACAGTACTGATACTCTAATAGCGAGAGCACGCTGTAATTAATGTGTGAAGCTTTTACTGTAATGTTTTACAACATTATTTCCATTCAGTTTTTTTTTCTTCTGACCAAAAGCTGGAAAATGTGGAAATTACTCTTTCTGTGGCCTACTCACCGAGTCAGGGTTATAGTATTACTCCACTTCATGACATAAAAACCATTAAAGAAGACCTTACTGGAGTCTTCTTTTTTTAAAGGTTTATTAAAGTTCATTTGTAGTGCTTCCTGTGACTGTCACAAAATACAGGAAGAATAATAGAAGTTTTAAAAGCTGAAGCCAAAATCCAGCGGGGGGATTAAACTTCTAAAAAATAAAAACCCTAAGATATTAATCCTGCTGTCACGTCGACACTGATTGCCTGTCCTTAATAGAGGGAGAATTGAGTTTTCTGATGGTGCTTAAGGGTTTATTTCCATCAGCAAAACTCATCAAAACAGTGAGAGAAACCAATCATTTTTTTTTAAAGTTACTTGAGAATGATTGCGCGTGATAAGCATCTTAAAATTGTAATATTGTGCAATTCTTATATTGCGTAGCGTTGAAAATAACGGTTGCACTTTATGAGCTCGGCTTGTCTGAAATGTTGATGATGAACCTCCAATTCATGGTTAGCATTTACTAGCAAGCTAAATGGTTACGCTGGTCCGTTAGAAGCGACTCTTTTAACACGAATTGATTGAATTGACGAAGTTAGCCCGACATCCTCACAATCAACATCAGTGTAGTTTGACACTTATGGACTGTTTTCATCTGTGTGACTGCAAAAGTGGACTGAGCCATTAACCTTTGAAAGGCGGCAGGCTGTTAGATACAACCAGCTCAGTTATGCAGTTGTCTTTTCAGGAAAAGTTGGCATGCTGTGCTAATAATTATGAATGATTTTTTTTTTTTTTTTAATTAAAGCTTTTTTGAAGTTCCTGCTTTTGTTGGGTTCTCAGAGATGTAGCTGATAAAAAGTTTGCTAAAAGATTTCCTCTGAATTTTGAATGTGGAACGTTTACTCCACTGGAACTGCAGTACCTGCTACACTATATATTGCTGTATCAAGTCTAGCCTCTGTTGCAAAGTGGGGAAATAGTGGGTGGAAAGTTGGTGACAGAAGGAGCTGCAGCTTGGAGAGGGCCCACACAGACTCCAAAAGAATTACTTTGTTTAAAAGGCAGTGCCTTAAGCAATGTTCTCTCAGGGTCCAGATATCTGAGTCAAATCCCTGCTGCACAAAAAAACAAAGCACTACTAGAGTTTGAGTAGGGTTGTACTGTTCAATTTCTCCTCCCTGGAACAAAGGAGCGAGTGATTCATCTTAAAATAGCTTTGTATGATTTATTAATTCCGATCCATGACACAGGCTTGCTGATTCTCATTATTTTGGATTTGGGTTAGAGATTTACAGACTTTATTTGGCTTGAGGTAGAATTATTTTCCAGTTTATGAATTCATTGTCAGTTTTCAGGCACCGGTCCTAAACAAGGTTTGCATGCTTATGTTTACACAGGGTGACATAGCATAAGCACTGCAAACAGTTGTGGTTTAACAAAGATGTTACCCTACATGTGGCACGCAACTGATCTCGAGTGTTTAATGCAGATATACAAAGGTCCTAGATTTTATTGCATTTCCATAATTTTATGTCCTATTTCATCCTCTCCACCAGACTAACTAATTTAGTTAATGCAGAAGTCTTTGTTTTTAATCATACAGAATTCTTGGTAAGCTTGCTCAGTTGTTTAAAGCTTTCTTTTTTAACGCGTTATATCATTTTATTCAGAAGCTCTTCTACTTGTAATTTGCTTGTAATAATGATCCATCTTGTCTGGCATTACCAAGAGCAGCCTTACTGAAGATTAACTGAATCACTTAACCTTTAGTACCCTTTTCCCCAAAAGACCTGCAGTGCTATATTAAATGTAAATAAAACCAAATTCAATATTGTTCAAATGAAACCCTGTATTTAACACAAAAAAAAGAACAGAGAAAATAGATCAATATTTGAAACTGGGACATTTTATTGTCATGCTTTAAAGAAAGTCGACCCTTTTTCAAATTTCTTTTTTATGTATGAGGAAATTAAAAAAAAACTAAACAAAAAAAAAGAACAAGCTGGTGCTTTTTTGAAATAGGTAAAGACAATCTCAGAAGAACAACACACACTTACTGCTTCCATATGAATTAAGAGGGGAAATAGCATCCAGATTCTGATAAAGGCACTTAATTAACAAGCATGATTATCTCTATCAAAGTTGAAGTTTGGACATTTTGCTGGTCTGAAGCGTTCAGGTGTGTGTTAAAACAATGCCAAGAAGGAGCGACGTCAGCAGCAATTGTTGCTGCCAATCAATCTGGGAAGTGTTTTAAGGCCATTTCCAAACAATTTAAAGTCCATCATCCTACAGTGATAAAGATTATTCACAAGTGGAAAGAATTCAAGACAGCTGCCAATCTGTCCCAGGAGGGGACATCCCAGCAAATTCACCCCAAGGTCAGACTGTGCAATACTCAGAGAAACTGTCAAAAAACCAAGAGGCGCATCTCAGGCTCTACATGTAAATGTTACATTTATCAGAGTGCGATTAGAAAAAGACTGACTAATTATAGCTTGTTTGTAAGGGTTACAGAAGAAAGCCCAGCAGCATGGTTTAGGCTAACAGAGCTGCATCTGATCTAACCATTAGACAATGTCCTTTGGACAGACAAGATGAAAATGGAGATGTTTGGCCATGATGTTTGGATAAAACCAATCACAGCATATCAGCATAAACACCTCATAGCAGCTGTCAGCACGGTGGTGGAGGGGTGAGGATTTGGGCTTATTTTGCAGCCACCGTACCCGGGCAGCTTGCAGTCATTGAGTTGACCGTGTAATCCTGTGTATACCAAAGTATTGTAGAGCCAAATGTGAGGCCATATGTTTGACAACTAACATTTGAGGAGATTTGAATGTTATTGCAGAAACACAATAAAGATTTCTGGCTTCTTCACCTACTTCCAAGGTGCTTAGAGAAGAGTCAAAGTCTAAAGAGGCTGAAGCTCCAGAAGAACAAGGTTATTACTTGATAAATTAGTTTTAACCAACAGTCTTGATCAGAGCCATCACCATAATCGGACATGAGACAGAACAACGATCCCAAGCACAGCAGCAAATCTAGACCAAGATGACTGAAAAATAAAATAATTAAAGTTAGACGTCAACACAGCTGAACTGCTGTTGGAGGACTTTAAGAGAGCTGTGTATAAATGCTGAAGTAAGGTTGTAAAGAAGAGCGGACGGAGACGTCTGTATAATCATATGAGAGACTGACTGAGGCCAACGCTTCAAGTGAAGTTTCTAAATGTAGTTCTACGAGTAATTGAATCATGGGGTGTACAGTCATGGCCAACGGTAATTTTTTTATTTATATGGCAATAAAAGGTTTGGAAGCATATGAAATCCTTATCATTGCTCTTCACTGATAGAAGTAAAAATGTATAATTTAATTAAAAACTAAAGTGCATGAAAAACAAACACTGTCATGGCTGTGCTTAGGTTTTCACTGCCTCTGCATTTTGACTTAGATTTAAGGTAATATTGTTGTTCATCTGGACTTGTATGTAATATTTTTATTATGTCATGGAAACCCATGTGTAACAGAACCACGGCAGACCCGATGACATTACAATGCTTTTCAGCATATTTTATTTACACTTATCACACAGTTGCTGTATACACAACTCAGTCATCTGCAGCTCACAGCCCAACAGGACAGGACCCAGTACAGATTTTAAAGCCGGCGGGGCATGATTGCAGACCACACCCCGCCACACCACGTAAACCTTGAATCTAACAGGTATACCTTCTTTTGACTATGACTGAGTGGCTGTTGCAGAATAACATATGCTGCTATTAAGATGATGACTTTTCCAGAGAACGCTGTTCTTATTTCAGCATTCAAAAATTTAAATGGGGTTAGGGGGAGTACCTAGCTCCTAAACCTCTTAAAAGAAGAAATAATGCAAGACATGATTATAAAATGATCATTT